CTTAAAAGCTAAACTTCAGACACAGACTTTATTTAACCAGTTGACATCCGCGGTGTTAAACCCCCCTTCCCATCCTGGCCATTTTTCAGTATTCAGCGCTACTTTGACTGACATTTATTCCGTCATGCAACGCTGTACTGAATTAAGCTTTCTTTTGGTGGTATTTATTCACCACTGGGGTTTTAATTTTTTACTATATTAAGGAAAAATTACCGAAATAAAAAAAAAAAAAAAAAAAAGTTACGTCCGTTTTTTTACAACGGGCGGACGGCAAGTGGTTAAAGCAAATTTAAGACCAAACCCATTTTTAGCCTTGGAGAGTGAGACTGAGGAAGTGTTAACACCCATATTTGGATTTAATTGCTTTCCGTGTTTACTCTACGGAGACCATCATCTTCAACATAGAAATTGATCAGAAATCCAAAACTTTAGTGTGATCTCACAATCAGGAGGAACGAGGAAACTTTCCAATGGGGACACCTCTTAGGGTAGCAACTGTATAAGAGGGGATTTCCCCAATCTTTGGTGAGATTTTCTTTTACTTCCTGTTGTGAGAAATCTCCCCAAAGAAAAACAATCCTACAGGGATCTTAAGGGCTTGTTCACACCAAATGCAGACCAGATCTGCATGAGTTTCTGCACACGCAGTGCAGTGGGTTGTGCCGAGTTTTGGATGCGTCTGGGACGTTTTTGGTAAAATGTGCTTTCAGTGGGCTCCAGGGCGTTTGCATGCGTTCCAGAGCAGGTAAAATAGGGCTAGCTGCAGTTTTTTTTACATGCTCTGGAACTGATCGCTGCGGTGTAAACTAGAGCCCAAAATACCATTGGAACACATTGGACGCCGTTTTGATCCGGTCTGTAACTGCTCTGCTCCTGGAACGCGCTCGGTGTGAACAAGGCGTAAAGCAGCACTAAACTGTGTTGTGGAATCCACTTTAACAATCTGTACATTGTTTTTATATCTCTAATTCAGTAAATATATCTTTTATATACCCTATCTGTGTAAATATCTATACTTCCTTGACAAGCACCGCCGGACTGTGGACAAATTCAAGATTCTCCCTGCCAGGGGTTCCGTCCTCTCACCTTATTCTACCGAACTGTTGCAAGTACAGCCTTAGAGCTGCGTGTTTTTACTATTAAATAAAATTTTTACACTATGGAGGCGCTCACTTTTGTTCCTTTTCTCATAGACTGGTGGTCCATCTCGTCGGTGGGAGCTGCCTCCATCGTGTTTGCTGTATTTTTACTGCTGGTCTCTTTTTGGATTTGAAGGCGCCGGTATTGTTTTGCAATTTAGTGTCAGTATGAATTCAGAGATGATTTGAGGATCTACAGCCGAGTGATACACAAATAAGTTTTGTTAATAGTTAAAGGTACTTAATTGTATTTTTAAGATTTAACTCGAGTTTAGTGTCACTTTCAATTCTGCCACTTACTAAATCCTTATAAAACTTTTACTCTGCATTTTGTTTTGCCTCGTTTTCAAAAGTAGGGACCAGGATTAAATAATTTGTCAAGCCTCTGCATATCACAGGTATTCCACCAGAACAAGTACAGGCCTTGCAATTGAAATATCTCTTTTGAAACCTTTTTGTTAATTGTTTGAAATGCTTAAGTGTTTTACAAAGTTAAAAAAGAAAAGTCACCAATTTAAATAAAAAGACAACACTAACAATATTTCCAAAGTGACCGTATCTGGTGACATAGAAACTGGTTTGCGCATTAGGCACAAATGTCGAATACAGAAGGATATTATAAAGAGGCTCTCAACTTCTGTGTGACTCAGTAGTTAGTGATATTAAAGTCAAAAGGTTTTTTAGCCATTTCAAATGCTGACGAAATCACTTACAATGGATGCTGCTTCCTAATGTTTAAGTGTTTTAGTTTCCTGCAGAATCAACTGTTCCGAGCACAGGATCTGATATCCTGTGTTAGGGTGGCTCCTTTCCCTTGCAGGGCCCTATGGAGACACCCTTGTGTGTGCTAATAAGCTATGTTCATCTCCAAATAAAACCGTTTTCATTACATACCTAATTTTAGACACAGTGACGTCGC